GAGAAGTGGGGAATGGGGATTTATTGTTTCATGGGTATAGGGTTTCAACTTTTTAAGATGAAAACTGTTCCAGAGATGGATGGTGGTGATGATTACACACAACATGAATGTGCTTAGTACCACTGAACTGCACACTTAGAAACAGTTTAGATAGTTAAGGTTGTGCGTATTTTACCACAAAAATAATTTTTTTTATATAAGAAGCCTAATATAAATCAAGACCTTTGTGATAGAAGGGTCCTGAATTCAAATTCTACCTCTGCCACTTACTGGCTTGCTGTTGTCAGTAATTTTCTTAGGCTTTTCTAACCTCATTCTCCTTGTTGATAAAATAGGCTCAGTAATTAAAAAGTTAATAAGATAACACATATAATGATTTTACTTCACTGCCTGACTCAGTGCATGTGCCAGTGCCCACTGAACGTATCCCCTTCTTTTCCTCTCATTATACCAATAATTCAAACATCCATCAAATGGGATTGAGAAGAAATTCTTGGAGTTTTTTCCTTACAGCATTGCTATTAAACTTTCCTAACTTCTGTCCAGGATGCGTGAATGGAAGGGAAGTGCCCTAGTTCGCTGTAATTTATGTCCCTCAGTGCCAGTACTGTGTTCCTTTACCTAAACTGCCCATTTCCCTCACCAGTCTAATGCAGGACTAAGCTTAAATATTATCTACCTACCTCACATACATCTGGACCCTGAAGAAAGGGGTGGAATTTGGAATAATTTATCCCAATTCTCTCTCAACTATCCACCAGGTTAAGACAACCAGGCTTACCTACCAGAGGACCGCAGACTAAAAGGAAAGTAAGTAGTGCCACCAACTGCCATACACTTGTGAGTTCACACCTTGTATACAGGGAATATCTGTTCTGTTTGCTCATATTCTCCCACCAGTGATACCAGAGGAGAGATGTGTCTGGAGGCAAATGCCATGTTAGTGACCCTTCTTAGACCAACAACTTTGCTAATGACTCTCATCCTCAGGGGAAGCCAAAAAGACAGTATCATCTCAATCCACCACCAAGACAAGCAGGATCCACAGAGGAAGTACATTGTGTCCAGGGCTCAGGCGGCCCTCCCCAAGTCAAATTTCTAACAGGGACCCACTGCTCACTAATCCACCTTCCCTAAAAATTGCTACATCAAAAGAAGGGATGTATTTTCCCTTGGCTAATTTGTTCCTACACCCACTCATTAGAATCACTGACCTAGTTATTATTGCTCCATCTGTTTTTTCTTGGAAAGGAGACAGCTTTTGCCAACAGTATAAACAAGATTATTGAGGTCCAGTTAGCAATGATGAGAATAGGGTTGCTATTTTTGCTTTTTTGTACGCCTTTTTGTTCATAAGCAAACTAGATGCTTGCTATCCTTTCAACATCTCTTAAGGAGAAATGAACACAAGCAAAATATAGATGCCCTGTATGCAGCATAAAGAAAACCTCATGTAGGAATAGACCCGAAAAATGGAAGTTTTTCCAAAAGAAGATCATTACATATCATCTATTTCAAGTTAATGCTCTCTAAACATTTATTGAATAGCTCACCCAGTTTACAGCCTCTTGCTTCTGCAGTTTATTTTCTATACTCTTACCAAAATGATCTTAATAAAACTTGTTTATTTCTCTCTCTCCTCCATTTAATACTTTTTTTAGGTCTTTATTGCCCTCATTTTGAGAATAGTACACAAGAAAGTTCATGATGAGGGCCCTGTCTGCTCTCTAGCTCATCTACCAATCTTTCTTTATTAGTGTTGAAGTAATATCAACCAACTTATAGTTCCCCGAACACATTTGTCTGTTTTAGTCCTCTTACATTGCCTAAGAGAATGCCTCCTCTTTCCCCTGAATCACCTGAACTCTTATTAATTTTTCGAAACCCAGTTTTGACTTCAATTGCCCCAGAAAAAGTTCCCTGACTCAGACTGAAGACTCTCTCTCTGTGCACTTATTCCACTTTATTTATTCATCCAGTTGAGAGATTCAATAACAGTTGGCAAATATTTACTGACCTACTTAACACGTCAAGTACTGTGCTAGGGAATCTCATCATAATTGTCATCCTGGCTAATACTTACATAGAGTTCGCCATATGCCAGGCACTGTTCTAAATAATACACATTTACTAATTCACTGACCTGAGCAACAACTTTGTGAAGTAAATACTTTTAGTATGGTCCTTATATAAAGGAAGCAACTGAATCCCAGAAAGGGTAAATAATTTGCCCATGGTCACTGGCAGTCCAGCCTCAGAGGGCATGTTCAGGACCGGCCTTGTCCCCATCATAGTGGAGATAAAAAATCTAATGAGGAAGATGGACATTAACATGTAATTATAACAAAATATGATAAAAGAAGGAATATGGGATGCGATGGAAGCACAGACCTGGAGACCTAACCTATTTGATTGGTGAGGCTTCCTTGAGAAAGAGGGCTTAAAGCTGGGTGATGAAGGATGACTATGGAAACTGCTTTAACTCCTAGATAGACTTTAAGCTACTTGGGGGAGAAGCCTTCTTCTTAGTCATTGCTATGTGACAGGACCTTTTCTATTGCTAGGTACAGAAAGTGTGAGAAGGTATTTAATTGAATGAGCAAATAAATTAGAATGTTAGGTATCTTCTATGAGCTCTACTTTAAGTATTTTCTTATTTAATCTATCTAACATTCCTGCAAGGCACCTGTTTCTTCCTCCCACATTACTAAGAGTGAATAACTCCCTCTTCTGTGCACTTGAGAAACTGAACTTGTTTATTTGTGGAACTTTGAACATTTCAGAAGTCCTTGCTGTTCCAATGTAGTTTCAGAATTGGCTCATAGACAGCTCTTCAACTTTTAAATGATTTATAATTTTATTTTTGAAATAGTTTCCCTCACCTTGTGGATTAGATTTCAGTATCAACATGTGAGGAGGGGAGGAGGATACACAATTAATCTATAACAATTGCCCTAAAAGAAAATTTCTGTCTGTATCCAAAAGCTATGTATTTACTTTATCTTTATCCTAAGTTATCTACCTTGGAGGATTTTCTAATGGGTACCCCAATTTAATAGTGGAGGATTAAAAAAAAAGTGGGGAAGAGATGAGACTTCCAATAACTTTTACTTTTTGTATACTAAGCATTTCTTCTTTCTTTCTCTTTCTCTTTGTCTTCTTTATGTTTCGGTTTGGTTTTGGTTATTAGGTGCTACCAGGGAAAGAAAGATAAACAGAATTATTTGAAATTTGTGCTGGGAACTTATTTTGAGCTGACTATACAAATGACCAGGGACTCCCCAGTTTTCCCAGAGAGGCTGCACTCAACTCAAATTTCCACAGGCCACAAGGTCACATCTTGCTGGGTACCTGGTTTTTCTAGACAAGTTGTCTATAATCACTTGGCATCTAAACACAGATTGCCTGACGCCCAAGTGGTTTGAAATCCACTAATAAGATTATTCTTATGTGCTCCCTATTAGAAAGGAGAACAAAAGTTCACCGGCAGGGTAACCTTTGCTACAGCGCAGACTCACTGGCATCCACAGTTCATGGCTTCTCTTGCTAACCCTTAGCTAATAATTTTTCCCAACAAAGTTTATTCCTTTACCCAGACTGTGTGACTCTGACACTATAGAATCCACTCATAGCTACTTTGGAGGATAGCCCTAAATTATCCATTGTCAAATGAAATGTTCTCCTTTACTTAGCATTCAGGAGCAAGAGGTTTTGAGAGTGCACTGTTTTAAGTGGTAGAGAATGAGAAGAGCTCTGCTGACAACACCTTCAGGACAAGGACAAGGTTTTTAACACAACTGGATAAACAGAGAAGGATATGGGACCATATAGTACCCTAGGCTCCAGTCCAGGTAGACAGTTTAATTGTCCTTTTAATTCCTTCACTCCTTCAGTGGAAAATGCACAGGCTTGAGGACATAAAGAGTAGAACTTAAGTCCTGACTCATCTACTGCTGTGTAAACTTGTTAAACAAGTTCAACTTCCTATTCAGCTGTTCAAAAGATATGCCTCATTTATTTATCTCAATCCAATTTAATTTACCTCTGAGCCCCCCTTCTGCTGAGATGGTAGGAAATCCAGTCTCTGCATCCCCTCTAATCCTTGCCAGGATCATGCAAAGATCCAGGGAGCTGTGTCATGTAGCACCAAAGCAATAGGGAGCACTTGTTAGCGATGAGGAGCCCATTGTCTAACCCACCTGGTCTGTGCTCCTGTGTCAACAGGGATGGGCCTCTTGCCAGGCCTGGGAGCCAGTCTTCCTATGAGTACTGCCCAGTCATTTCTCTGCTCAAGTTTTCCCCCTCCCCCTCCAGTGGATGGGACCCACCAACCTCATCCCCCTTTGAATGGCCCTACCCTATCCCTTCCCCTATCTACTTTTGCCCTTCCCCACAGCACATTTAGAATAATAAGATTAAAGGGAGCACACTGGTCCATTGGGTCCCATCATGCTTCCTAGTATCCATCACATTCCACCTTATTTCCTTTAGAGCACTAATCAGTATCTGTAAGAATGCTGTTCATTTATTTGTTTATTGTCACCGCCTCACTGGAATTGGGCTCATTTCTGCTTATACAGCCGTAAATAACTAGCGATTGCATTTCTTGTTTGTTTTTTACAGAGAAGTGGGGAACTCAACAAAAAGAAGTAAAAGCAGTGAGTCAAGTGTGACTTTTATATAGAGAGTGACTCATGTCCTGAGAGGCCACACTATATCGGGATGTGCTAGAACCCCCGGATCTGAGGCTTTCCTAACTAAATTATCTTTTTTCTGAAAATCGTATTGGATCCTTAACCGTATGGTTCATTATGCTTTTCAGTAAAGGCTTGGTCCCGGGCTTTACGCCTACCCGCTCTTTCAGCCGACCAAATCCTGGGGGAGGGAAGCCCAGCCCCTGCGCAAGCGCGTAGCGGAGGATCCCGCGGCGCCGAGGGCTTTACAGTGCGCATGAGCAACTAGAAGCCGCGAGGCGGAAAGTAATGCGCAGGCGCGTTTGGCAGACTCGGTAAGTGGGAAGCTCTTGGAGGCGGTGACCCAGGCATCTGGGGAGCCACTGATGTCGTATTCTCTTAAACCGTGAGTTTCTGATGCGTTCCGCGGCGCGGGATTATGAGGGATTAGAGACGAATTCTGGATCGTGATTTCGGTTTTATGGCAGCGCATTGCTCCCCAACGCCCCTTCGGATCCCGCTGACCTCCGGCGGGAAAGTCGTGCGCCTGCGCACTAAGCATCCCTTGCGGTCTCGGGTCTGAGCGAGAAAAGTTCTTCCCTGCTGGGCTCGCTCCCCGCGCTCCCCGGCGAGTTCCATTTATTCCCTGTTCTCTTACGCCGCCGGTGCTTGTGGCCGGTATCGGTTTTCCACCAACTCGTACAGGGCCTTGGACGAGCCTCCTGGCTCCCCCCTTGGTGGGTAGTCAAGGGTTGGCCCTTTCAGCCCTGTTCCTTAGGTCGGCCGCTCTCCCGAGGCCTGTGCCTCGCCTTGGGCCGTTCGCCGGCAGGCTGGTGCGGGGCGCGCTGCCACCTCCGTGCCCGCCACCCTTCCCGCCGCCTCTAGATGCTGAGGAGGCACCCGGACGGTGAAATTTTCCCGTCGGCCCCTAGCCGTTAATTTCTGGAAGGCGAACGGAAAGGGAAGCAAACGGAAACCTTAGAAATGGCCCAGTTTTCCTTCCTTAGAGAATTTGGACATACGGTGCAATCTTGAATGCTTGCCCCTTTCGGGGGGCAGGGGCATTTCTTAGCGCTTGGTTCAGTGAGTGACGCAGATATCTCATCTTCACCAGTATTCTGACTTTCACAGCTACTTTGCTCCCCCTGTGGACATGACCCCTTAGATGGCATTTTGCATCCCAGTTGTTTTGTGATGGAGGCGTCTTTGGGGATTCAGATGGATGAACCAATGGCTTGTTCACCCCTGTGTGACCGATTTCAGGAGGAAGGCTCGTTTAAAAATCATGAGCAGAATTTTAAACTACCAGGTATGTGTTGATGTACAGGCAGCAATTCTGCAATTTCGATTATTAAAAAAAAGACAAAACTTCCTGTATCTTCTATCGAGTTGCTTGTTTATATAGGAGCGTTTTACAAATCAGAAAAGCTCCCAGGAATATAGATTCAGGATTTAATTGCATTTTAGAAGAATTGTAGTTCAACCATGTCATTTCAAGATGAAGTTGCTAAGTTCTAAATATTAGTGATTGTCCAAGAAAACAGTTTGTTGATAACCAAACTATTTCTGTTCTCCTAGACTTGTGTTCTTATCTTTACTCTTCATACTGCATAAAGCTTGGATTTAGAAATTGATATTGGAGGGATTTTCACTTAAGTACTCAAAAGCAGAATTCACTGACAAAAATAAATGAAAAGTTGGTATCAATAATAAAGCAGAAGTGTCATTTGACCCTAACCCAGACCTTAAGGTGAGAGGTAGAGGGTCAAACAGTATCTGCATTTGATCTTGTACACTAAAATGTGCACCTTTCTTCCTGTTGTAGCACAGTGTCTGGGACAGGCATTTAATAAATGTTTGATAAATAGAAGAGTTCCAGTTGACTGTGTATTTTTCCTGAAAGGTACCAAAATCGTTTTCATCTTTGCCTTAAGCGTATTTAGTACTTGTCCAAAAGATACTAGTTTTGACCTTTCATCCGTGAAATACTTACCCACTACAAAATAAACTTGAACACCACCCTAGAAAAATGACATCTCCTGGTTTTGCTTTAAACTCATCTTTGGTGTAGAAATAAGTACCCTTCCTGATATTTTTGGTGATGAAAGCTGCTATTATCCAGTTACCTATACTTAAAACTTCAGAGTTGTCTTCGACTTAGACTTTGTATTATCCTGTCACTAAACTCTGTCTTACATTCTTTTTGTTATGTATGGCATTGCCTCTTCTTCCCACTCCCACTTCCATCACAGTAATTTGTCACCTTATACTTGGCTCCTGAATACAAAGCTTCTTACCTAAACTGCCTGCTTTCATTTTTTTTCTATTCTCCAGTTCATCTTGTACACTGCTAGTAGAAAATGCCAGCTTCATTCAGTTCCATGCATACTGTCCCTCTTCTCTTCCATTTTTCCTGGAGTTAGCTGTTTTACCTGTTTTTCACAGTTCAACTTTCCCATCATTGAATACATAACACAGTCATAGTAATTTTTTAGCACTCTGTGTATTTTGTCTCTTCAGTTTAACTGTAAGCTTCTTGAAGGCATTATCTCATATAGCCCCTAATGTATGTTTTATATGAGGCAGAGTGTATGAATAGATGAATCTGACTTGGTTCTAGCTTTATGTTCAGATGAAAGCTACTATTTTGATTTTCTTCTGAAAACCTGGGAAATAAAGAGTGAGGTGAATTTTTTTCCAGATTTCTTAAGTTTTGTGCCCTTCATGTAACAGAATATTGAGCATTATAAAACAGCACCTTTGATAACTTACAAAAATGCTGAAGTTTTATTCATATGGTTATTATATGACCCTTAATAAAAGCTGAAGTTATATCAAAGATATAACTTTAATAAGGAGTAAAACTAATGAGATCCAGGCACATAGCTGATCTAATGTGATTAACTTTCTTTTAATGGAATAACTTGAATTTTGTGGCTTTTTCTGTATCTTTGTATTCAAGAACCTAACAGTATCTGGCATATAGTAGGTACTTGAAAGTATTTGAATGAATGGTTTAATGCAAGGGTATGAACTAAAATACTTAGTGTAATGGATGAATAGCATGGACTTTTAGAATATTTGTCAGTTTTTATAACTTTTTTCTGATAAAAATTGCATATGTTATAAATAAAATTGAGAAAGTATAGAAAGTCAAAATCAAATATTAACACACTATCCAGATATTGTTACTGTTGACAGTTATGTATGTTATATATACTATATATTATATATAATGATTTGTCATATTCCTTTAGTCTTCCTGTGCATACAGAGATACATTTTTTTAAAAATTTAAGTGGGCTCATAGTCAACTTATTTCTTATCTCCATTTTTACTTAATATATATCTTGAACATTTCTTATATAATTAAATATTCTACAGCTTGATTTAAGTTGACTAATATTCCACTGCATAGTATAATTTATTTAATTGGCTTTTTCTTAATGAAGCCTTAGATTGTTTTACATTTTTTCCCATTAAGAAAAATGCTACAGTGAATGAAGTACCTGGAATAATACTGGACCAAATGTTTATTCTTTCATTCTTTCAGTAAGCTTTTTTTTTTTTTTTAAGTATCTGCTGTATGCCAAGTTTAGTCAAGTGATGAAAATCTGTTCAGTGAAATAACTAAGTGTAAACTATTCACCAAATGTCTCTTCCATATTCTGCCATATTCTGGAAGTACACTGTAACGCTTTTGGTGTGTTATATAGATGCTCTTAGCCCTTGCTTCTAAAGTGGCTTAGAGGTACCATATGGTGTACCTGAGACAGATCCAGTTTATGCCTGTTACCACACTTGTAATTATTATTAGCACCCCCTTTCACTCTCAAGTGTCCCAGTTTGGGCTAAATTACATAATCTTCCTAGTTTTAGTAAGCGTAAATCAGGCAGTACATGAAGCTCCAGAGTAAGCATGACATATTCCTGGAGTATCAGTTTTACTCCTTGGTAAGTAGTTGAAAACATCTCATTTATATGATGAATATTAAATGTCTGTTATGTGCAGGTACTTTTCTACTTGCTGGGATGAATCAATATATAAAACAAAGATCAGTGCCCTTGTTCTGAGGGAAATAGACAATAAACAAAAGAAATAAGTAGTATATTCAAAGTGATTAGTACTGTGAATAAAATGTAGAAGGGAAGGAGAGATAGGAAGTATGGCGGGGAGGAGATTGCAATTTATTAAGTGTTATTGGTCAGAGAAGGCTTTATTGTGGTTAACATTTGAACTAAGACTTAAAGGTGGTCATGGAGCTATGCAGGTATCTGGGGAAGAGCATTACAGGCCAAGGAAACTGCAAATGTGAAGGCCCTGAGACAGGAGAGAGTGCCCAGCATTTAGGAATGGCTGGAGGTCATTGTGACTAGAAGTGGAAGGATGATGGTAGTAAAGTCAAAAAAGAGGTGTGAAGAGAGGAGGTAGTTTTTTGGCTTTTACATGGACTAAGATGTGAAGCTACTAGTGTGTTAGAGCAAAATAGTGATATGGTGACTTAGCTTCAACAGGGTAATGGCTGCTGTGTTATGAATAGACTACCCAGCAAGGGTGAAAGCAGGGAGTATAGTTAAGAATGCTATTGCTGTATTAAAGCCACTTGACATATTATGTAGCAAAAAAAAATTCACTTAAAATTTCAGAAAAGAAGCCTAAATGTTCATGTGTAAAATATGGACATATAAATAATTTTTAGCTTGTGGGCTTGGAAGAGCCTTCCTCTAATTCTCAAAATATATACTTACTGGTCTCTGCCTTTAGTAGTGTTTTCCGGCTTTTGACATGAATGCTCTTTTCTGCTGTTTACTTTCATCTCCCACTTTATAATTTGAGGATTTTGCATTCACTTTGGTTGTCAGGAAGTTTTACTTTTTGAAAATGTCAAAGTTGTTCTATAGCAACAGGAAACCTTAATATAAATGTATTTTGAGTTTTGTAAAGATAGGTAAATACATAGTGAGTAGTGTGGAAGCACATTGAGCTTACATAGCACACTATCTTCTTATATATATTTCTCTCTGCTGATTTCTGACAGCTAACCAGTAACTCATCTACTAACTGCTAGCTTGTGCTTGCTTAAGCAAAGGGAAGTTGTAAATGTGGAACTCATGGGAAAAACTTAGACTTTTATCCTAGGAAGGGAAAGTTCATCTAAACCCTTTGGTTTTACAAGTTAAGAAGCTGAGCACTAATGTAGTTCAATGGTAGGAGTTGAATCCAGGCTCTTTTGTATGTCAGCACTGTCCAGTAGAATTTTCTGTGATAACAGAAATGTCTCTGTGTTATCACATGGTTAGTGCTAATGAGGAAATTAAACTTAAAGAATTAGTAGACGGTACAGCTCTTTATCATCCTTGTACAAAGCTTTTAGTACTATTAATCATGAACAAAACACGCACACCAAAACTTCATTCAATATGTGTCATAATAGAAAGACTACAAACAGGGTTCGTAAAATACTTCATCATATCTAAACACCATTGATTGTAAAGTACACTATTTTATGTACTGCTTAGAAATGCTGCCAGTTAGACTATGACACAATGCTTTCTTATCACAAAGAATTTTATATTTATTGAAAGTTATTTTAGACCTAATTGGACAAATAATTTGTGATCTCTGGTACATACTTAAAAAGGAAAATAAACATTTCAGATATGTGTCTTCTGAATCACTTTTTGTACTTGGACTCATCAGTACCTTATTTTCCCTTTCACAGTATTATTCTCTATACATTAGTGATGCAGAATTTCTTTGAATACATTTTTTTTAAAAAAAGCCATTGTTAATGGACTCTTAAGAGACTAATTATGCTGGCCTACATTTTATTTCTGCTTTACCACCTCTACCACCTCTCCCCACAGCCATTTGGCTGTTAAGGGTTCAAATGTGAATGCTTCTAAATGATTTCTTGGATTTTCTTGAAGTCACTGATAACTATTCTGTGTTTTGATGATGACTGACAATTTTAAGTTGGATCCCAATTTCACAGTTATTTTTAGAATCAAAGAAAGGTAATGTCAAACTGAATTTAACATTTTAGTGTCCTTTCATGGTGCCTTTGCTGTGAAGCTGGTTGGAATTGACACTCATTAGGAAAGATTGTAATTGACTGTGGCAACTCTTGATTGCTAGAAAAACAGCTTTTCACCCAGGCCTTAGTTTTGGTTTCTAGAGTAAAGTAGTGTGGTAGCTTATTGAAGTAACTGCTTCTGTCTGGCTTCACTGTTGTAACTAATAAACTTCTGTGGTTTTTTTGTTTTTGTTTCTTCTTAACAGCTATCTTTGAATGTCCATAATGATGGTAGTAATTCATTTATTCAACAAATGTGCCAGGCACTCTTCTAACTAGGAGCTGAGAGTGTTCTGTGGGGAACTATACAGACAGAACCTGCACTAGTAGAGCTTATGTTCTAGTGGGAGGAGGCAGACGGGAACAAACAAGCAGGATGATTTTTTAGTGCAACACAGGGTAATGTAAGGGGAGGAGTGCTGACTTAAAGAGGATGTCAGAAGAGACTGGCTTTCACTTGCCTGAAACTGTGCCTTTCTCTTCCTCAGCCATATTGAATTTCATTATCTCCCCCCTTCTCTCCCCCTACCATAGTCCATACCTTTTTCCTTTTCTATGTCCTTGCACACATAGTTCCTTCTTCCTAAAATGCCTTCTTCCACTTGGTAACTGCTTCAGAACACAGCTTAACTGTGTCACCTGCAGCTTCCTGGCACCTTCAGAAGCGTTCATTCCCTTCCTGCTCCTACCTAGCATTATATGCATTCCTCTATTATTACAGTTATTGCCTTGCATTAAGAGTGAGTGAGCTTCCAGTACACTAAGCTCCTAAAGAATGGGACTACACTGAATTTGTTCACTTTTTGAAATATACCCATTGCTGAAAACACAGTGTTGTTAAATGAAAGAGTCTATATAGACATACCAGCAACAACACCTCTGTGAAATGGGGCAAATGATTAACTTTCCCTAAATAGGGTTTCCTTACCTGAAAAATCAGGGTAGTAATTCCTGTTCTACCAATATCACAATGCTATTGTGAAGATCTGAAAAGGTAATACATGTGAAAGTGCTTTGGAATGACTTAAACTGTTAAACCATGCAGAGTATCATAGCTTTAAAAGTAGCTAACACTTGGTCTAGGTATTATAATAAAATTAGAGGAGTCTTATGTAGGTCTCTTTTGTATCCAGTAGTTTATCCCATTTTGTATTATTGCCTTTCCTTATTTTAACTGTGTATGTTTTTGTAAAAAGCTTACATTTATTTAAAAGTAGCAATTTATCTTCTGGTAAGGATAGAGGATACTACTGATATTTCAGACAATTTTTAAAAAATATTTTTTAACAATCCTGAGATCTGTAGGAAACCTGAGAGCATTAATACATAAAATATTTCCAAGCCTGTAAGATTTTGTATCTTCAGAGGAAGGAAATAGTTTTCAAGAGTGCATTTTGTCCTTCTCATGCCATCTAGTGATTGCAGCACAAATTGGTTAGTTATTTTTTTTAAATTTTATTAGAAAGTTACTTTTTTAAGTCTAGTTATTTTTTACATTGTGTTGCACTTTATGCAATGGCAATGTATCTGTTAGTATATAAATCCAGAGTATAGAAATTTAGTGTATGTGATTCTGTGATTTACCAGTTTTGTCTGTTAGTTCAAGAGGTATGTATGAGTTATAGCACCTTGGTGAGGTTTTAATTATTGTTATGATTTCAAGGTTTATTATAGCTATTTTTAAATTTGTAATTTATTATTCATATTTTAGGATTTCCTTGAGTTTTTTTAACTAAGAAAAGTATAAAATACACTCATTAATTATGACTATAAATTCCTTTTTCCTTGATAGGTGTTAAAAAAGATATTGAGAAACTTTATGAAGCTGTACCTCAGCTTGGCAATGTGTTTAAGATTAAGGACAAAATTGGAGAAGGTAATTTGGGGATGTATTTTATTATCTTTATAAGGTTTTTTTCCTTCTATTTTCCTTTGTATAATCTTGATTTTCATTATTTCTTACTGAAAAATTTACTCTTCTCAAAGATATTAAGGCCATGGTTATATTACTAATTGTGGTAACAGCATTTCTTTTTTCCCTAGAAATAGTGAAAGAACAAATATTTACAGTAAAATGAACAGTCCTATTTTAATCTTTATACTTTATACATTAAAATATTGACATTAATAGTATATTGGTAATGATAATTATTTATTCCATCAATGGGAAATGAAAAATTTAAGATTCAAATGGCATTTGGTCAAGAGAAGCCAAGTATTTTTCCTCTTTCTCCATTGCAGTTAGGTAGACTTGCACATTGAAACATATATGGAACCTAAAATGGCAAAATGATGAATACTATTTACAATATTTATAGGATGGTCAGTATTGACATAAATACCATTGAGAGACTGGCAGTCCTGTTGATTGAATGAAGGGTAAATTTGGCAGAAACGTGAAGGGAATGAGAAGATAAAATATAATAGAACTTTTTGGTGGCTATGTTGGGAAATGCCTAAATAGTGTAAACTTCCATTTACTTTGTTACTTGTTCTTCCACAATGAAAAGTGTCAGATGAGAAAATGCTGGGTCAGGGAAGCTGAAGATAAGATGATTTGTGATGTAAGATGCAGATTTTTACATCTTTTTCCTTACATTTCTTAAACACTGACTTAGTGTTCAACCTTTGTTCCAGAAAACACTGATGTCCTCTTAACAAATGGTAGTTATTCCTTGAGAGGAAAAATGTGTCATAAGGCTAAAATAAGTTTGGAAATGTAGCATGTGTAGCCTCCTTTTGGTTATTTATGATGTACTTTCCACACATTAAAGTCTCTGAAAAATATTGTCATAAAGAAATCTTCTAACTGCTTCTTTTCTGCTTCTGACTGACCTGTATTATCCAAGTCTTAAAAAAGTAATTTCAAGTGGCAACTTCAGTATTACGAAAAAATGCTTAATAGAATGGATCATTCATAACCATGAAAATATTTTATGCTGACCCAGTTAAAAAGATTTACTGTAGAGCTTTCATAAATTAATATACCCCCTAAAGAACTGAGGACAGTTAGGAATTTATTAAGAATTGAAAATAAGTTGTCTTTACAGATGTGTTCATTCTTTGTGTTCAGTGTCATTGAAATACTCATGTTCAGTGCCATTGAAATATTAACGATTTTGTTAATTTTATGGCTTCCAAACAGTTTTTAGGATCTATTTTAGCATTGTTTCATTAATATTTTAAAAAACCAAATATTGAAAAATCTAACAAATTGTTTTACAGGCACTTTTAGTTCTGTTTATTTGGCCACAGCACAGTTACAAGTAGGACCAGAAGAGAAAATTGCTCTAAAACACCTAATTCCAACAAGTCATCCTGTAAGGATTGCAGCTGAACTTCAGTGCTTAACGGTGGCTGGGTAGGCAATTTAAAGATACTTTAATAGAACTAGCCATATATAATTTTTAAGATTTTTTAAGTAGACATCTAACACAGGCGATAAAATTGTCCATGACTTAAGATTCTTCATCAGTAGTTGTGGTTTGGTAGCACTTTTCCTCTAACATTGGAATGGTTTGTTATATTTAGGTTAACTTTTAGAGTGGCTGTCCCTTGAGACTCAGGTTGATTTTCTGTTCCCTTAATACTTCTTTTTCTAATTGTCCTGCCAAATCATAAACCTTGGCTTCCATGGTGTAGATATGTTTTAAAATGTCGGGAACTCAAATTTCATATCTCCCCAGCTATTGACAGCCTTATCTCCTATTTTATTTTGAGCAACAGAATCAACTGGCATGTGTTTCTCATTGGTCTCTCTGCTCGGTCATTCCTGTCAACGTGCAGCACAGTGTATGTTCTACTGCGCCGCTACATAGGCGCTTCTGTTTCCCCTATTCTGCCATCCCTCTTCTAGCTGTTCCATCATTTTTTTGCTCCCCTTCACTGCCAGACTTCTCGGGGATCATCTACATCTATTCTTTTCACTTCCCTACCCTCTTTCACTATATACACAGCTGTTCTCTGTGCTAAACTGAAACTACTTTAGGGTGAGTCATCCATGACTTCCATTTTGCCAGTTCCTTTTTTTGTTCACATGAACTAGGCAGTGCATAACATAATTGATTTGAATCATTATCTTTAGACTGTTGTACTGCTACGTATTCCTGGTATTCTTCCTGCTTTATATGGCCTTTGGTTGTCCATATCCTTTTCCAGATCTTCCCTTTCTACCTGACCCCTAAATGTTGGAGTTCTTCAGTGCTTGATTCTGCCTTTCTTTCTCTAGACTCTTCCTAGGCAGAATTATATATTTCTACATGGCTTTAAATGTATAGTAATGATTCCTGTAAGTATATATTTAGGCTCAGACCTTTAACTGTGGAATTTCTATATCCACCAGTATATTTGTTTCTATATGAGTACCTGATAAACATCTCAAACCTCATATTCCATAAACTAAATTTTAATCTGCCTTACCTGCCCAAAAAAAAAAAACCGCAACTGCAACAACCTCTTTTCATCTACCCATCTCAGCAAATGGCACCATCTTTCCTAAACTACATCCATCACCAAGTACTGGCCATTTTGCCTCCAGTTTATGTCTAAAAACCCATCCATGTCTTAACCACTATCTCAATTCAAGCGTAGATTACTACAGTAGCCTACTTCTCTTCCCACCCTAATCCTATAGTCACAAAACAGCCAGAGTGATCTTTAAAATAGAAAAGTATGCATGTATATAATATAAGTTGAATGCTGTTAGTACCACCACTTAAAATCCTTTAATGGTTTTCCAATGTACTTAGGAAAAAAATCCATCCTTATCTTCTCTTCCCACTTCCTTCACTGTGCTCCAGTTTCTTTAGTTCCTCAAACATGTCTCAAAAGCTTTCTCACCTTAGAGCCACTACACATACTGTTTCTCCATTTCGGAATACCTGTCTTGGCCTTTCCATACTGACTCCTCATCTTTCTGATCTGAGCAGGTATGGCACCACTTGAAGGTCTTCTCTGAATTAAATTAGGTTCTCCTATTTGTTGTTGTCACAGGACCTTTGATCTCTTTCAAAACCGTTATCATAATCTGTCATTACTTGTTACCTTGCTTATTATCCGAATTGTCCACTAGGTACTAAATTCCATGAGGGAGAAATCATGTTAATTTTAATTCACCTTGCATCCCTAACATCTAACATAGTGTCTGGCCAATAACAGTGCCCCCTGAATATTTATTGCGTGAGTGAACAAGCCTGTATCTTAGTTTCACCCTCTGCTTATTACAGAGGGCAAGAGGATGAGATAGCCTCTCTAAGGCATGATTGCATACACTGTAGTCCCCTTAATGCCACACTTTAAATTCCTTTTTCCACAGTTTGAATGTTCCCTTTACCACTTTTCCTTTGCCTGTACTTTTAGAAAGTGCATATTAAAAATATCTTTATCTGTTTTTGCTTCCTTTCTGGCTTTTCTTCTTTTATTTGCTAGATACTTATCTTTATGTTCTGCTTCCATTGAATCATGTTTTCCCTCCTTAAATCCTATTTGTTGGCTTCTTCTTTCCCACTTAATTTGCTCTCTGAAAATTTTCCAGTTAATTCCTCTTTGCCAAACTAAAAGCCTTCCCTCAGTCCTCACTCTCTTTGACCCCCATGTTTATCCTCCCTTTCTTTAAAACTCTTCACACGGCTGTCCCTCTCAGCTTTTTGCTCCTTCCTTGTTTTGATTTCCAACTTGAGACTTTTCCCAGACTCAGTTTTCTCTTCTCTCTAGTCCTTTTCGTACCTTCAGGTGTCATACCTTTAGATTTCATAGCTTCAGGTGTCACTTCTTTGCAGGTGTTATCACTGACTGCTCATGTAAGATTTAGCCCCTTATCTAGACATATTTATCAAAATGATGAGGTCTTGTTTTTTCAATACTAGTTTTCCAGATTTCTCTACATATTTTGTTGATATCCATGTTGTTTTACTCTCTCAGACTCAAGATCCTATTTTCTCTATTTTCCTCATCTTTTATGAGGCAGTGTAGCATCGTGGCTAAGAGCATAGATCTGGAAAAAACTGCCTGTATTCAAATCCTGGCTCTATAACTTTCTGGTTTAGTGATCTTGAGGAAGTTCCTTAACTTCTTTGTACTTCAGATTTCTTCTCTGTAAAAAAGGGAGATGAAGTAATAGCACTGTCCTCAGAGAGTTATTGTGAGGATTAAGATTAATAATTGAAGTGCTTAGATCAAAGCTTGGCATAAAATGAATGCATAATAAATGTCAGCATTTATTTATTTATTTATTTCTTATCTGCTACTAAGGCTTGTTAATTCATTTTCATTATTCATCTTTTCTTTCTCATTTGTTGCTTCCCTAATTAAAACTAGAATTACCTCGTTACTATAGTAACCTCAACTGGTACTGTTTTGTTTTTTAAAAACCTTTTATCTTGTACAAGTCAGCTAAATGTATATACTATCTTGTATGATAATGGTTTTAAGTCAGTTTTCTAGGTAAAATGAGTTTTCTAGGTAGAATTGTATTTTTAAAAAACTGGACATAAAGATTCAGTTCATTTGACCTTTCCTCTGAAGTTCATTGTACATGTTTCCACTAGGGGGCAAGACAACGTCATGGGAGTTAAATACTGCTTTAGGAAGAACGATCATGTAGTTATTGCTATGCCGTATCTGGAGCATGAGTCCTTTTTGGTAGGTTTTAATATTTTTTGAATTTTCATTAGCTAAGTATTTATTGAAAACAGTTTTATGACTTTATTCATAACTTTATTTTAGGATATTTTGAATTCTCTGTCCTTTCAAGAAGTACGGGAATACATGTTTAACCTATTCAAAGCTTTGAAACGTGTTCATCAGTTTGGTATTGTTCACCGTGATGTTAAACCCAGCAATTTTTTATATAATAGGCACCTAAAAAAGTAAGTATGGAAAGTTACCAGGATATATTTACACGTGAATGAATTTGTACTGTCAAGTCCATCTCTTAGTCATAGCACATACAGCGACAGCTACGCAGAGGATTTTTCTGTTTCAAATTTGCATTATGATTGGGCAGGGGCAATAGAGTGAAGGAGAAGATAAAATTGGGTTAGAGAGGTAACAGCATACATCATTTGGTGTACCATGGCTCAGTAGAAATAGCACTTAGCTAAGAGAAAACTTACAAAGGGTCTAGTCTTTTTTGACCTTACACATTTCTCTTATCTCTGGGCTTCATTTTTCTTTTCTAGTAAATAATGAGATTGGACCACATGATAGCCAATCTCCTGCTTCAACACTAAGGTTCTGTTTTTATGTGTGTTTGTATTATGTATATGTACATCTTTTTATGCTGATAGAGCTATTGTAAGCTGAAAACTTAAATACTGCTGTTTTTACGATGACAAGAAGTGTATGACAAGAAGTGTAATTTTAATCTGCCTTACCTGCCCAAAAAAAAAAAAACCGCAACTGCAACAACCTCTTTTCATCTACCCATCTCAGCAAATGGCACCATCTTTCCTAAACTACATCCATCACCAAGTACTGGCCATTTTGCCTCCAGTTTATGTCTAAAAACCCATCCATGTCTTAACCACTATCTCAGTTCAAGCGTAGATTACTACAGTAGCCTACTTCTCTTCCCACCCTAATCCTATAGTCACAAAACAGCCAGAGTGATCTTTAAAATAGAAAAGTATGCATGTATATAATATAAGTTGAATGCTGTTAGTACCACCACTTAAAATCCTTTAATGGTTTTCCAATGTACTTAGGAAAAAAATCCATCCTTATCTTCTCTTCCCACTTCCTTCACTGTGCTCCAGTTTCTTTAGTTCCTCAAACATGTCTCAAAAGCTTTCTCACCTTAGAGCCACTACACATACTGTTTCTCCATTTGGGAATACCTGTCTTGGCCTTTCCATACTGACTCCTCATCTTTCTGATCTGAGCAGGTATGGCACCATTTGAAGGTCTTCTCTGAATTAAATTAGGTTCTCCTATTTGTTGTTGTCACAGGACCTTTGATCTCTTTCAAAACCTTTATCATAATCTGTCATTACTTGTTACCTTGCTTATTATCCGAATTGTCCACTAGGTACTAAATTCCATGAGGGAGAAATCATGTTAATTTTAATTCACCTTGCATCCCTAACATCTAACATAGTGTCTGGCCAATAACAGTGCCCCCTGAATATTTATTGCGTGAGTGAACAAGCCTGTATCTTTGTTTCACCCTCTGCTTATTACAGAGGACAAGAGGATGAGATAGCCTCTCTAAGGCATGATTGCATACACTGTAGTCCCCTTAATGCCACACTTTAAATTCCTTTTTCCACAGTTTGAATGTTCCCTTTACCACTTTTTCTTTGCCTGTACTTTTAGAAAGTGCATATTAAAAATATCTTTATCTGTTTTTGCTTCCTTTCTGGCTTTTCTTCTTTTATTTGCTAGATACTTATCTTTATGTTCTGCTTCCATTGAATCATGTTTTCCCTCCTTAAATCCTATTTGTTGGCTTCTTCTTTCCCACTTAATTTGCTCTCTGAAAATTTTCCAGTTAATTCCTCTTTGCCAAACTAAAAGCCTTCCCTCAGTCCTCACTCTCTTTGACCCCCATGTTTATCCTCCCTTTCTTTAAAACTCTTCACACGGCTGTCCCTCTCAGCTTTTTGCTCCTTCCTTGTTTTGATTTCCAACTTGAGACTTTTCCCAGACTCAGTTTTCTCTTCTCTCTAGTCCTTTTCGTACCTTCAGGTGTCATACCTTTAGATTTCATAGCTTCAGGTGTCACTTCTTTGCAGGTGTTATCACTGACTGCTCATGTAAGATTTAGCCCCTTATCTAGACATATTTATCAAAATGATGAGGTCTTGTTTTTTCAATACTAGTTTTCCAGATTTCTCTACATATTTTGTTGATATCCATGTTGTTTTACTCTCTCAGACTCAAGATCCTATTTTCTCTATTTTCCTCATCTTTTATGAGGCAGTGTAGCATCGTGGCTAAGAGCATAGATCTGGAAAAAACTGCCTGTATTCAAATCCTGGCTCTATAACTTTCTGGTTTAGTGATCTTGAGGAAGTTCCTTAACTTCTTTGTACTTCAGATTTCTTCTCTGTAAAAAAGGGAGATGAAGTAATAGCACTGTCCTCAGAGAGTTATTGTGAAGATTAAGATTAATAATTGAAGTGCTTAGATCAAAGCTTGGCATAAAATGAATGCATAATAAATGTCAGCATTTATTTATTTATTTATTTCTTATCTGCTACTAAGGCTTGTTAATTCATTTTCATTATTCATCTTTTCTTTCTCATTTGTTGCTTCCCTAATTAAAACTAGAATTACCTCGTTACTATAGTAACCTCAACTGGTACTGTTTTGTTTTTTAAAAACCTTTTATCTTGTACAAGTCAGCTAAATGTATATACTATCTTGTATGATAATGGTTTTAAGTCAGTTTTCTAGGTAAAATGAGTTTTCTAGGTAGAATTGTATTTTTAAAAAACTGGACATAAAGATTCAGTTCATTTGACCTTTCCTCTGAAGTTCATTGTACATGTTTCCACTAGGGGGCAAGACAACGTCATGGGAGTTAAATACTGCTTTAGGAAGAACGATCATGTAGTTATTGCTATGCCGTATCTGGAGCATGAGTCCTTTTTGGTAGGTTTTAATATTTTTTGAATTTTCATTAGCTAAGTATTTATTGAAAACAGTTTTATGACTTTATTCATAACTTTATTTTAGGATATTTTGAATTCTCTGTCCTTTCAAGAAGTACGGGAATACATGTTTAACCTATTCAAAGCTTTGAAACGTGTTCATCAGTTTGGTATTGTTCACCGTGATGTTAAACCCAGCAATTTTTTATATAATAGGCACCTAAAAAAGTAAGTATGGAAAGTTACCAGGATATATTTACACGTGAATGAATTTGTACTGTCAAGTCCATCTCTTAGTCATAGCACATACAGCGACAGCTACGCAGAGGATTTTTCTGTTTCAAATTTGCATTATGATTGGGCAGGGACAATAGAGTGAAGGAGAAGATAAAATTGGGTTAGAGAGGTAACAGCATACATCATTTGGTGTACCATGGCTCAGTAGAAATAGCACTTAGCTAAGAGAAAACTTACAAAGGGTCTAGTCTTTTTTGACCTTACACATTTCTCTTATCTCTGGGCTTCATTTTTCTTTTCTAGTAAATAATGAGATTGGACCACATGGTAGCCAATCTCCTGCTTCAACACTAAGGTTCTGTTTTTATGTGTGTTTGTATTATGTATATGTACATCTTTTTATGCTGATAGAGCTATTGTAAGCTGAAAACTTAAATACTGCTGTTTTTACGATGACAAGAAGTGTATGACAAGAAGTGTAGAACTGTAACTTCTTGGGCCTTTCTTGACTTTTTCTTCAATTTTCCTTTAAAACCATGAGTTTATTTTTATTTAAAACTTGTTTAGTTAAAACTTTATCTGCTCTGATGCCATCTCTGCCACTGTCAGGGTACCGACTGTTTGTATTCCTTGTCTGCCTTGTCAGCACAGCCACTGGAAAACAGAGAGGAAAGACTTTGTGTGTGTGAGATACATCTTTCCTTAATTTCCATTTCTTGTTGCTAATAAGTCTTTATCTTGGCTGTAAACTTACTTTTCTTTTTTAAAGAAAGTTATAAATCTTAACTGAGCCAAAAAGAATTACAGTTTCTGTATAGGCATGGTTTAAATATATTATGATGCTACTAAGTTTTAGTTGTTACAGAGAAGTAAAATTGCTTACTTTTTTCCTTAGGTATGCCTTGGTAGACTTTGGTTTGGCCCAAGGAACCCATGATACAAAAATAGAACTTCTCAAATTTGTCCAGTCTGAGGCTCAGCAGGGAAGTTGTTCACAAAATAAATCCCACGTCACAGGAAACAAGATTTCATTGAGTGGCCCAGGAGCACCTAAGGAGCTGGATCAGCAGCCCACCACAAAAACTTCTGTTAAAAGGCCCTACACAAATGCACAAATTCAGATTAAACAAGGACAAAATGGAAAGGTTCTACCTCTTTTATTTCTTAAGTACTAGTATGGTTTTAAAAATGGACTCATTCATCCAGCAGAGGGAGATATAGTACTAGGTTAATACCTGCAGCTAAAAAAATTCTTTTTGTTTTTTATATATTCAGTTCATTAGATAGTGATCACTAAGACTTGTCATTTGTACCATTTCAGAGCTGACATTTACTTGGTAGATTTATAATTGTAATGTCTTTGTCATTACAATTACATTATACAACAAAAATGGGAAATAATAAATTTTCCCTGCATGTTATGAAGTTCAGATTAATTATCCGTTTTAAAGAAGAACATTAGTTTTAGGGGAAAAATTCTGAAGTGTCTATCTCCATTTTAACTGCACAGTAAAATGTAACATTCATGCAGGTGGTTTTTGAATTTTTTTTAGTTATATATATTTATGGACTATGGTAACATTATATTGATGTTAAGAGTTCTGTCTAGACTATTTTCTCCTTTCACAGAAGTGTTTTGGTGCCTGAGAATGACTTGGATACAGCTGGTTTTGTTTCATGTCCTTAACTCTTTTCAAAACTATGGCAGAGTACAGCTGGCAGAAAGTGTTACAGATATAATCCTGTTTTCCTTGTTTTTGTTGGTATTGTAGGAGGGATCTGTAGGCCTTTCTGTCCAGCGCTCTGTTTTTGGAGAAAGAAATTTCAATATACACAGCTCCATTTCACATGAGAGCCCTGCAGTGAAAGTAAGTAATGTAGCTTAATAGTGCAATCAAGTCAGTGGTACACTGAAGAGAATTTAGGGAGTAGCATTCATTATCAGTAAGTTTTTTAAAGTAAAGTTTTGCTTTAGCAGAAGGTATTACTGCTTAGAGCATCTAGTAAACACTTTCTCCAGTTTTTTTCTAAACTCTTCTGGGGGAATTTTTCATTGTTTTTGGTTAGCTGACTTGCTCTTTCACTGAAAGAGCATTTAGAACAATTAAGGCCTTTTCTCTTAGTGGCTAGAATGTGAGCTCCCAACAACTAACATATTTCTGACACACAGTTCATAGTATAAGGTGTTTGTAAAGTTTACAAAATTGTCACTAATGTTAAATGGTTTTAAATTGATTTACAATGACTTGTAACAGCTAGGTAGCATGAGCAACAAACTAAAGCTGATTTTAGCCAATGTAATTGTGCAGTTTATAGTTCTGAAATGGAGTTAGACACTAGAACATAACTGTTTTGTACTTTTGTAATACATCAGGAGAAGTTGTAATGAAGTATGAATCAAATATTTACAAAACTAGGACTAGTTAGTAAATTTTAAGATGTTTATTCAACAGAAAAAAACTAAGACCTTAAATGTTTTAATAGACAGCTGTTTACAGTCCAGTAGCACACTGAAGCAGTTTTAAGAGTTATATTTCCACTATTGCATTTTGCCATACTAACATTAGAAAGTATAGTGTTAAATATAATGAAAATAGGAAATACGGATTTTCTTTTACAGCTTATGAAGCAGTCAAAGTCTGTGGATGTGCTGTCTAGAAAGTTAGCAACGAAAAAGAAGACCATTTCTACGAAAGTTACGAATAGTGGTGTGATGAGGAAAACTGCCAGTTCTTGCCCAGCTAGCCTGACCTGTGATTGTTATGCAACAGATAAAGTTTGCAGTATTTGTCTTTCAAGGTAATGTGTTTTGATGGTGCTATAAACTCACCAGCAGGCTGCCAAACAAGATTAGGAATTGCATTGATTGTGCTGAGCAGTTGATTAGTGAGTGAAAGGGAAAACAAGTTCTGTGAACTACAGAGGCACTAATGCAGAGAGGTGTACTTTGAAGAGCAAATGACAACTGATATTTTCTTCATTTGGAAAACACATTTACTCTTACATGCAAATAATTTTGGTGGGGAGAGGGAGAGGTTTTTTGACTTGTACATTTTGCTTGCTGATTTAATCTTTTGTTTTCTTTCTTTATTCTGCCTTTGTAGAATAACCAGAACCAAATAATAGAGCTCCTCTTTCACTCCTGCTCTTAGCCACATAAATTTCTCCCTTCCTTTTAAGACTTTGATTAGCATTCACGAGCTTTTCCTGATTAACTCAAATATATATGTGAATAAATATATTCGTAGTTAATCACTCCATGCAGAAATGAATTTTTATACTTCTGAATTCCTAATGTATTCTGTTTTTCTGTTATGGCTCTTGTCATCTGTGGGTGCCTAGAAGTTACCTTAAAACCTGGAATAAAGCCTAGTGGGGTGGAAGAGTTTAGTAGAAGTAAAATCTAGGATTTTCATCACACTGGATTATCTTTTACTTTATAATAATTTTTCAAGATGTCAAGGCAGAATGTACTGTGAACCAAATCAATGAACATTATTTTTTGGTCTTAAATAATTTAACTTAACTAGAAATACCTTACTTCATCATCATAAGGTGGCAGCAGGTTGCTCCTAGGGCTGGCACTCCAGGATTCAGAGCACCAGAGGTCCTGACAAAGTGCCCCAATCAGACCACAGGTATGTTGCACTAGAAATACAGAACCCAACTAAAATTAGTTGCCCCATGTATATTTTATTTATGATCTTCTATTGTATGCCTATTTTCTGCTTTTAATTAAATTACATGAGTGACTCCATACAGCTAGAGTCAAAATGCTATTTATGAAAGTTTCTAATTCTAGTGTTGCCCCCCCCTCCTTTTTTTAACAATTTTTTTTCTATGGAATTTTGCTTACCTATGTAACAGATGCTTTTAACATCACCTTTGTGGGGAAAAAATTGTGTTTGGTGGTCTTTGTTTAACTTAATACTTCCAGCATTTTATCTGTTCAACTAATGCTGAAGTCTTCTGTAATGCACATATGATGGTGAGTTTGATTCACATTATTTTTTGTTACTGGGCAAACAATATAATTGCAGTATAAAAAGTTTTGAATTTAAAAAATCCATAATCTAAAAAAATTGTCATGAAGCCAGAACCCAGGAAACATCTTAATTGAATAGATGAATCCTTCTATTCACTTGGATTAAGGACTTGAAAGAAATGCATTCATTCATTGTCTGTATTCTCTACTTGCTAATAATACACAAAATGAATGAAGCCATCTGCTTACACTCTAGTAAGGACATGTTCTCAAATAATTATAGAGTAATCTGTTGAATATGGTTATGAAATTCATGTGAGGTATTTTAGGGATGTCTATCCTTACCTGAAGGGATTCCTTAGGAGGAAGTTCATAGAAGAAAGAATCTCTGAGAAGAGCATGTAAACTGAGTTGGGCAATTGACACTGAGGCATGAGTGGAGAAACTCAAAAAACAGCCTGGTATATCATGCTGGAAACTAGAAGTTTAGTTTTGCTAGAAAGTAAGGTGGAATTTGAGGAATAGTGAGAAATTAACCTAAAAAGAGGTAGATATGGTCACACTTGTTAAACAGCTTGGACTGTAGGTATTAGAAAGTTATTCAAGGGCAAGAGATAGTAATAACTGTGTTCTAGGTCATTCTGATAGGTGTGCAGAGAGGTTAGGTTTTGGAGAGTGGTGGCCTGCAGTGTCCAGGTGAGAGATGATGAAAGCCTGAATGAGGGCCTTTGTAAATAGGAATTAAAAGAAAGGTGAAGTATTGGAAAGGCAAAGCCCGGTGGATAATTGGCTATGGGATTTGGGTATGGGGTGGTAAAGGAGAAAGCATCCAGCATTCCTGGCTTAGAGGACTTGGATGGCTACCAGTGACTGAGGTGGTAAGTAAAGAAGTAACTGGCTTCCAGGGAAACTAAGGTTGATTGGGGGCATAATTGGTTTGAGATATTTGTGGGTCATCCAGATAGAGATGTCCAACAGAGCAAAAGTAAGTCTGAAGCTCAGGGAAGTCTGGGCTGGAAATACAGTTGAGTATCATTATTATATAAATGGTAGTTGAAATTGTGAAGTGGATGGGGCAGTCAGGAACTCAGGAACCTCAGCATTTCTCAGGCTTGGAGAAAATGTTGGAGCAGGCGCATGTGCAAAGGTAACCAAGAAAGGCAAGAAGATAGAGTGGCCAGTGGAGTAGAGAGCAAATAACTTGGCTCTGATACTGTTTGGTGATACTAGGAGGCCTATAGTTAGGACAGAAAAAGTCCCTGAAAGAAAAGGTTTTCTTAACCTGAGGCTGAACTGGTCTTCATATTAATTGCCAGAATTCTAGAGATTAAAGATTGTATAGCAAAAGTCAGAGTTAGCACCTGGCTGAAGAATGGGTTATAATGTTGAATTCCTTTCATTAAAATGAACCACTTTTACTACTATTTTGTGTAATTCTTGAGGAACATCCAGATTTTTTCCCACATAGCTATTTTTGGATTTTTTTTAATCTTATAAAATATGCATTTAATGTAGTGCTTTCTAGATGAAATAGCCTTTTAAATTTACCAATATGTTGTTCAAGAAAGAAAACATTGTATCTTGTAATAAGGATGTTAGACCAGGGAGGCTGAATCCTGAGATTACATTAAAAACATCTGAGAAACTTTTTAAAAGTTTTAAAAGAGCAATTAAATGAGGGTCTTTGAGGGAGTGGGCCTTGGCATCTGAATATTTTTGACTCTCAAGATGATTTGAATGCATAGTAAAGGTTGTGAACCACTGATATAAAATTGATATAAATTGGCTTCTGATGCTCAAGTTACAGATTTGGATTTTTTTTGTTTTCTGTCACAGCAATTGACATGTGGTCTGCAGGTGTCATATTCCTTTCTTTACTTAGTGGGCGATACCCATTTTATAAAGCAAGTGATGATTTAACTGCTTTGGCTCAAATTATGACAATTCGTGGATCCAGGGAAACTATCCAGGCTGCTAAAACTTTTGGTAAGCCTTTTTATTACTTTAGTACAAAACAAATGTCTTGGATTATATCCTGCAAATCACTCAAGTTATCATGAAATTCTCTTTACCAGTAAACACACTCTCTGTTCATAAAGTTCTCTGATGTTAGGTAGAAAATACTTCACTTACTTGAAAATTAATTGCGTTATTTAAAAATAATTTATCATCACTTCTATACATTTAAGCATTTAATCTTACCAAGCACAAAGCACTACACTTCTCCAATATTTAAAGTTCAACAATGTTTTAATTTGTTTATTGTATATTTATTTTAAAAAATCAGGTGCTCTTGAACCTTACCTAAATGATTTTAGTCTATACTAGCAAGTAAAGAGTTAATTATAATATAGCATAATAAGGACTATAGTAGGGAAGATAATAGAATGTGTGTTAGTTGTCAGGTTCCTCAGGGTGTGGTAGCAGAGAAGAAATGTGAAGAGAACACCTTTACTGATGGAGTAGTATTGTAAGCATATGTTGGACATGGGGAGTCATCTCCTTAGCTACGTAAGTTCTTGTACTTAAAGACTGGGATATGTAGTGTACTTCATAGGGCACCTGAGAATTATCTCAGCCTTGCTCTGGCCAAAAACTTGAACTCAAATACACCTTGTGTTTATTCTCTATGCACAATTATAGTTAATATTTTCCAAAGTGGATAGCTGCCCCACAATGTAGAGCACCCCTTTGGAACAAAATTTCATCAGTATACCTCAAAAGTAGCTGGGCTGCATTGTACCCAGCCTCAGGATCGCTGATTCTTAATCAGGGGTGCCTATTAGAATTATCTACAGAACTTCAAGAAATCATATGCCTGTCTCACCCCACTCCTTCCTGGAAAATACGGTACAGAAAAACATGATACTTAAGAAGGGTCCAGACTTGTTAGTTTGAAAAAAGTGATTTTGATAAAGAACTACTGACTAAGAACCATTGCAAAAATGATTGTCCCTTGCTTAGGCACCAGTGCCACAGCCTAATCCCCCAGAAAAATTTGGTAGTTATGAAGAAAGCTCCCTAATAGAAGCTTATTACTAAGAATGTTTCTGCAGCAGAGTCAATCCACAGCTTGGACCTTTCTTGAACCTACTTTAAGAAAATTTTATCATATGATAATACAGTGAAATAATACATACATACAGGGAAAACAGCTGTGACTGGAAAGCAAGATTGAGATATTGGAAATTGTATTCCTTTTTTACATCAGTATGTTTATTCTGAGATGCTGAGATGACTGCGAAAACTTGCCATTTACTATTGAAAAATGTCATGAGAGTTGATGAACATGAAGTTTACCAGAACACCAAAATATTTTGTTGATGAACTTTAATCTCCCCCATTTGTAGTAGAAGTTATAATGAGGACCAGCAATGGAAGTACAGCATTTCACACAAAATCATTTCAGGGCAGCTGTCATGACAGTAGTGAAGGACTTCTAGAGATTTATCACTGTAATGCTTACTCTCATATTTAAAAAATAATAATGCTAAATAGTACTTATTAGTATGACTTCTGTAGTTATTTCAGTCAAATCTCACTATAACTTTGGGCTGCAAACTGGACTCAAAACTTCAGCAGCTGTGACAGTGTTCTTCCTAAGATACAAAGAAGTGTTTGTTTGAGATTAGCAGCAAGAGTATTTGTACTTCTCTTGTGTGGAACCTGCCCCACTGTCCTCAACAGAAGGTGGGATGACCTGGCTCCATTGTGGATTGTTATTAAGTACTTCTGGATTTGTGTCAAATTCAGGAGAAAAATCTTAAGCTAAAACAAATGTGTGGCACATAGTAGTCTGTAACAAAATATGTTTTGAATGAATGTATTAGTTTATTTTCCCTGAATAATAAGCCCTCTTTTTGGTCATGTAAAAAAATAATTTAGGTATATTTTGTGACTTTGGGAGATGGTGTACACATACTGTTAATTATTTCATGACTTCAGGGTAGCCTGTATGATAGTAGTATAGTAGGTGAGATAGACATAGTCTAGTAGGCGAGACATTGTATCAGTTATAATACAGGATAGCAAAAGTAATAGTAGAAATCTTCATAGGATGCAACAGAAGTTTAGAATGTCAACTCTCTGCTAGCTCACAGAGACAGGAACCACATAGCCAAAGGCATATAGCAGCTTGGAAGGGAGAGGAAGTGGAAGCTGCTGCTCATTAAAGATTACAGAAGGAAAGGATGACACTGGAGAAGTTGACAAATTCAAGTGAGTACCTTACATAGCTTAGTAAGCCACTGCTTGCTGCTTACTGTCGTCCACTCTATGATTTAATACCTTCAACTGTGCAATGCAAAACAGAACTTAAGTATATCATGTGGTACCCTAACTCATACTCATTGTAAGTGTATACACAAAGCCCATGGTTGGACTTGAATACTGCTTGGGAGAGGGGCTTCTGATAGATTCAAATAACAAAATATGTGTATTTTTTCTTTTAGGCAAGTCAATATTGTGTAGCAAAGAAGTTCCAGCACAAGACTTGAGAAAACTCTGTGAGAAGCTCAGAGGCATAGATTCTAACACTCCCAAGTTAACAAATGATGTTAAAGGGCCTGCTTCTAATGACCCAACTTTTTCAGAGAAGACTGACCACAAAGCTGCTCACCTCATACAAACACCTCAGGCACAGCTCTCAGGGAATTCATTGTATGAAGGGGACAGTAATGGTGGCTGTGGGGGTCGTTTTACCACGTACACAACCAGCTTAGAAGGCTGGGATGAGGTACCTGATGAAGCTTATGACCTGCTTGATAAACTTTTAGATCTAAATCCAGCTTCAAGAATAACAGCAGAAGAGGCTTTGTTGCATCCTTTTTTTAAAGGTATCAGCTTGTGACTATCGTTCTTCATTTAAGATTGCTGATGTGTATTGTGAGGTGGGATGAAAAAGTTATTTGTAAAGCCATGAATTCTTGACGAGACTAGGGCAGGATGAATATTTTCAAATTTTAGTATTTGTGCTTGTGACAGATTCTAAAATATGGATTAAGATTATTTAAGATCCCTGGGCTAATTCTTTGGACTAATAACGTGATCTTTGAGTTAGATCTACCCAAGTAGAATCAGATCTTTTGTTTCCCTAATTACTTGTCACTCTGCCATATGCAGAAAAAGGAGCAGTTGTGGTCTAGTACATAGTGGTTCAAAGTACAGATCCTAAAATTAATGGATGTGATAGAGATTAAATGAGTCAAAAAACATACTTTATTGGTTTCTTTGAACTGTGTTTTCTTTTGTAAAACTCAACCTGGTGCTGGTGCTCTAATTATCCAGTAAGTAAAGATAATTTCCTCTTCTAGAGGCATGTATTAATACCTCTTATGAACACTAAGACAGTGAAAAAATGCGGGGTTGAGGGTAATATTGCTTAAAATTGAATTTAATGTATCCATTGTTGAAAGCATTTTGTGAAGGCATTTTTTTGTGTGAATTGCCATGTTCTTCTTAATGGATTCTCTCTTGATTTTTTGGCCTTCTCTACTGCCACCCAGCACAGTCTCCTTGGAAAAAATACAGTGTTTCCCACAAAGTTTCTGGGTACTTGGTTAAATATTGCATGTGTTTACAGGTGGGAACTTAAAACAGTGCATAATAACCTGGTTGATAAAAGGGGCAAGCTGTAGGACCAAGGTGAAGATTGGATAGTCCAAAATGCTTTTATTTTTCTTTGAATGTCTGTTTTTTTCACACCATCTGAGGTATAATTAGGTAGCTGCTAAAAAGGGAAAATGAACACAGAATCTAGAATATTATTGGAGATTTTTTTTCCTCTGCCTAGAGCCACCTAGTTCTCCCTAAATACCTTGTTTTGACTAAGTTGGTCTTGCTAAGAGAAGGTTGATTACTGTACTCTTGAAGAGTCTTGGGTGAGTTGAGAAGAAAGTTAATGAAGTAGGCACCATAGAAAAGGACCAGAGAGAGAGGCATGTGTATTGTTACTGCCTACCAAAATGATGCATATCAGACTTCCGTGGGACGTAAGTTGGGGTGTAGGTCTGCTAAGAAGTTTCCCATTTAGTAGTCAGAATACAGAAACAGCTTCAAGACATACACTATTCTTTTTGTTATTTTGAGCACTGAAGTCAGTATGTCTACCTATTCTACTTGGCAAATATAATATACATATATATATACCATTTCAATTGATCTGTTCTGTCTTCTCATGTTGTAATCTTTAAAAAAAAACTAGAATGTTCTTGAATTTGTTTAATAAAGTTACCCTTTTATATTTCTTATGTCAGACTACTCATTTGAAAAATACTTGAGGAAAAAACCAAGGTATTGACCACAGTATTTTCCTTCTCAGACTGATAAGTGCTCTCTCTTCAGCAAATAATAAGAGTAACAAAAATTGGCCTGATTCAGGTGATTCAAGGAAAGATAGAAATAGATTTTTTTGTTTTCTAGAAAAGGTGCTCATTGACTTCATTTTTAGGTTGTCACAAGTAGTAAAGCAATAAAACCATCTCATTAACCAAAGTGAAGTTATAGATAAAAAGAGACTCTTATGTAACTCAGTCCAGTTAACATATTCTTGGAAAATTAATAGGTAGAAAAATGTAACTACCAAACGTGTAGGGAAGGAGATACTTTCTAAGAAAGTTTAATATTGAGGGCTCTTGGTTTAACTTTCCATTAATGTCACTTTTACAATAGAACTTGATTGATACACAAGGTGAGGTAAAGGGAACTAGTGTTTTAAAAGATACCCAGTATTACAAATTAATTCTCTTCAGAATTTAAGTCCCACTAGAGAATGTTGCCTCAATTTTGGGTGCTGTATAGATAAAAAGTAGAAAGGAGCTTCCATGTGCATACTTTCAGATTTTCCAGCCTTCTGGATACTATTTTATAATGGCAGATACCTCCCTAAGAAATCTTTAGTAGGCAGAATAGGCATTCCTAAGGAAAGATAAAGAAGGTAACTAGTTGATGCCATTTCCTATTATTATGGAAGTTCCCAGAATATTTAGCTATTTTTCATTGTCATTGCTTTTTAAAATTCTTACTGTTCAGACTCTTGAGATAAAACTGTCAAGGGTGTTTTCATTTAATAAGAATTAGACATTTAGAACTATTAATAACAAGCTACAAGTATTGGTTTTTGAAACAGGCTGCAGCTCTGTAGCATTTTTAATGAAACTTTTCCTTATAAGGAGATGATTGTGGTTGCCTTAATGACCTAAATAAAAATGTGTCTCAAGAGTGGTTATTCCAGAGAATTCAACTTAGTTTATTTCAAATCTGAACAAATGTCATCAAGTGATGTTAATCTCTTATGTTTCTGGCATCAGCATTTTAGGAACAAGATGGTGTTGCAAATGCAGAATATTGATTGCATAAAGTCTTGAAACGCACAAAACTCAAAGACTTAGGTATTAGTAATTTCTTCTGTTTATGTAATTTCAGCCCTTCGCATCACTGAAAAGTTATTTATCTTAAGAAACTGGGGCTAAATTTGTCGGGTAATGCTGTCTGCCAATGTCTGCAGACGTATTGTTTCCACCTACATTTGTGCGTGCTGTTTGTGGTCTTTATAAAGAACTGTATCTAATATCAGGTGGAAATTCAACTCTTCAGATTTTTTCCTATGTTCTTAGAACTGATGTTGCAATTTCCTGATCTTGTCAAAGGATGTGTTTGAACTGTCTTACTTTCTTGAAAGGTGGATATCATCACCCACATACTAGATAAGTACTCAGAAGTAGTTAATGCTGTGTCAAATTACAGCAAGATTTTCAACAAAGTAACCACAAAGGTCAGTGCTAAGACAAGTACTTAGTAAATAATGATATGTTAGATATCTAAAATGAAAAGGCAGTTGCAAGTTGGGCAAGAAAATTATAAAAATGAAATTCTGGAAACTGATTGCAAAATAGTCTGAGCTTAATTTTACTGGCTAAGTCTTTTTTCAGTAGAAGAATATTAACTAAAAGAAAAAAATTGTCCTTGACCCCTGTTATGGATGCTTTAAAAATATATTAAAATGTGGAAAAGGATTCAAAAGGATGAGCAAGAAACTTATTTGGAGAGTGTGTACATAGCTTTTGTAGAACAAGGAAGATGACCGGAAAGCAGATGTGAATGGTTTAGATATGTGTTTAAGCAGGCACCAGGTGCAAAATGCTTTTTAAATTTAATACTGTACACTGCCCTAGCCCTTAAGCAGATTCCATCTTGGGCCCTACTGATGCATTTCTTTGAGGAAAGTAACAGGTTTAGCATTAGGAAGTTCAGTGCTGCCTTACAAAGGAATATAGAGGAATAACTGGCTTCTAAATTAATCTCTGGTTGCAGATTTAGGGAAGGCCAGTGTCACTCCTTGTAGTAGGGAACCTAGAGCAGTCAAGGGATGGGCCTCTTGACATCCTGAAATAACCCTAAAAGCACTGTCAGCTAGGGAGTGAGTAGCACAAGTCAGAAAATGAAAAAGCCATCTGATAATTTCATTCTAATGAGAATTTTTGCATGTCTCTTATCTACATCCTATCAATGCTGCGGTTTTATATGTGCATATTTAATTATGTGTTCACCCTTTGTGTAAATTCCTTCTGTAACTTCTCTGAAGACTGTAGTATATGATCTAGAAATGATGACAAACAAGGATAAGACTAAGACAGTAAATCAGAAACAGATGTATGGCTCTGAAGCCTCACATTGTTATTTAGCCCCATCCTTAAGCAAAAGCACCTCCGAATTTCTCTAACACTCATCTTAATACTTTTTTACCCAGTAGAAGTTTCTTTATTCCTTCTGGCATGTTGCTGGTCTTCCTACACTCAAGTGTTCTGATTAAAAACAAAACCAGTCCCACTGTATGTGTGTGTTAATGAGTGATCTTTATACAAGAATTAGCAATGCTGCTTTACACTTCTCCCCCAAGGTTTATGAAATGAATGTCTGTCCTCTGAGTGTCTCTTCTGTCATTTTAACTTATTTTAAAACTCCATGGATAAGTGGCCCTATCGAATGTGGACTCCTTATAAAATGGAAACTTATTAGCACTTTTATGTGTAGAAATAAACACCAGTGTCTTTTTGTTGTGTATTATGAGGAAGTGTCTTTCTAGTTTGTCCCTATATAGTGTGACTAGACTAGTCCCTGGCATTTATTGAGTGGATGTTCAATAAATATTTATTAAGTGATTGCATTTAAGTTATGTGTCATTAATTGCTTTCCTGGCCAGATATTAAGCCAAAAACCTTTCCTAATTAGGGTGCCCATTTTTCTGTTTGGTACAATCTACTTGCTAGGTAGTGATGCCAAATGGTAAGAAAAATGAAATGTCTCATTACTCTTCACATGATCTCTTTTTCAATATGCCATCTCCTCCCAACACCCACCCCTCAATAAATATGTAATTTAAATAAAGGCAAGATTTTGATGTCAGGCTTTAGATTCAGAATAGCCCTAAGGGGATCTTTGGACTATTGTTTGCCATTATCTACAATGCCTTCTCCTGTGAAGTCAAATGTGCGTGTTCCTACTAGGCTATCAGAGGTCCTGCACCCGCCCCCCTTACAAAACCTTTGCTGATCAATCCTAATGATTATTTCCCTGATTTCCTATACCAAGAGTATAAATTTCTGGAAGGTAAAGACTGTCTCATATCCCCCCACGTTTCTTATCACATTATAGAGACTCAAGTACTCAGAACTTTGGGATAGACTAGAAACCTGACACCAGGGGTATTTCCAAACCCCACACGAATAATCACTGCCTAATCCTTTTATTCTTAAACATTTGCAGGATTATACTGTTTCCCCTTGGTAGTGTCATCTAAAACATCCCAGTGCCCCGCACCCAATCTGGCCATTACCAGTTCTAATTTCCCACCGCTCCAGTCTGCTGGAGCTCCACTCCCATTGCTTTGACCCCGGTGGAGACAGAACAGCCTGTGGACATTCTGTCTGTAATAACCCTTCACATCCTTGTACAAGACGTGAGTGAGTAAACATTTCATAGGGCTTATAGTCATGTTCTTAGCTCCTGTGTACCAAGCACCATAATAATAAAAAAGTCAATTTGTTTTAAGGACTTGTAAGAGTATATGAAGTACTATGGGAAAGGATTATATGCACACTTGGTTATGCTTTGCTAATGTGATTCATTTTCATACATGCAAGGCCCTATTCATCTTGGATTGTTCTGAAACCACTTCAGTTCCAAAAATGTTAGTCCACATTGATGTGTTCTGAGAATTCCAACATTTCTTCATCCAAACTGCATTTCTAAGAATGTCTCTCAACTAAAAGTAGTGTGAAAATTGTTAGAAACGTGTTCCCATTTTTTAGCTTTGAAAATATGTTCATTATAACGTGGCATTTGAGGCTGTCTGCTTTGGAACCAGCTGATACACATATTATTGAATAAACTGGAGAGTTTTCCAATGTTCTTTGAGCATCGAATGGGGCCTTAAATATTTTCTTTGAGATTAAAAGTATAGGTGTAACAATCGGGGGACTTAATTAATCCTCCTTTACTCACCCTTTTCCAGTTAGAAGTACACCCTAACTAGAAGAGACATAATATAGAGGTGTCAGCCAAGGCTGACTCTTCCCTGAACTGTGAGCCTTCGTTTCATCAGTTGCCAACGGGTTATATATGCTTGCCTCATCTTTTGAAGGGATAGTAAGTGAGCATGGTTCCTAAGTATAAAGTTGACACGGTACATAATTGTTTCCCTTTCCTCCCTCCTTTCTTCCTCTAGTTGCCCTTCACCTCCCCCTACAAGGTAGCATGGCCTGGGAATATTCTTATATGTTTCTTCCTTAGCTTTTTTTTTTAAGCACATCAGGGTTTTTAAACCATTAAACTGAAAATTGCCGTAATCTGAAATGCTGTGAGTCTGACAAAACAATGCTCATTTTCTATGCACGGTGATGTTCTGTCTGTCCACCAGATGGCAGGAGTTCCTTGAAAATTTTCTGTCAGCTGTCCAGGCGGTTTGGTCTGGTGTATCAAAAAAAGATAGGACACAAAAATACTGGCGCTGACAATTAAAAAAGTTCAACCAGGGAAAGAGGGAGCTAGTGGTCATCTTTCACACCCTCATCCTTTCCAACCACAAACTTCTCACCTGTTTTGCTCCTCCCCTGCCTGGGCTTTTTCATCTCCTGCTTCCTTTAATGTGAAACACTTCCTACCAAACCCCAGCGTCCATCACTTGGTAACTCCTGTTCATTCTTCAAGGCTTAGTTCAGACATCACCGGCTTTAGGAAGCCTTCCTT